TGGGGGTAATGTTTCTGCCTACCTTCCTGGGGCTGCTGGGAAAATAAGGTGAGGTCATGGAGCTAAAAGCTGTATGTAAACTGTACAGTCCAGTGCATTTATTGTGACGAGGTATCTATGGAGTCAGACTAAGCTGGGTTGGAGTTCAGCTCCACCTACTCGCTGGCAGGGCTGACTCGGGTAAATAGCGTCCCTTCCTCATCTAAGTATGACTATTAATAGTATCTACCACTCACAGACTTGCTTTAGAAATTAAATAAGGTTTAAGCAAGGTAACATAAATGTCTAGGATACAGTAGGTGCTCAGCAACGGTTTCTCCTCAAACACAGGTACATATATAGCCCTTCCAGCAGTCTGCACACAAAATGGGCTCAATCTAGAGGAGAAAGTAGGCAGCCAATTAGCCCTTTTTCTCTAGTTTCCATTCTAAGAGAGGAACTCACTGGCCAGAGTCCAGAAAGGTCACTGATAGGGAGAACAGAAAGCCACATGCTGGCCTCCCACAGGGAGTTTCCAAAAAGTGTGAGCGCAAGAGTTGGGTAATCTGTCCCTGATCTATGTATCTGTTGAAATGTTTCAGTAAAAATATTCCCCAAAAGGAAACATGTAATCAGGGCAGTAAAGCAGCTTTAGAAAAAAGGAAGGAAGGGAGGGAGGCAGCTGGGGACTCTTGGAAGTGTGGGTGTGATTAGGCAGACACATACCATATTTGTTGAGGTCCTACTACGTGCCACACAACATACTCACTCTGATACCTCATAAGATCTTTGCCATATTTGGGGTTGATGGCTCATGCCTGGCATCCCAGCTACTTGGGAGGTAGAGGCAGGAGGACCTCAAGTTCAAGGCCAGCCTGGGAAGTTAGTGAGGTTCTGTCTCAAAATTCAAAATTAAAAGCAGGGGGCCATGTGTGGTGGTCTATGCCCGTGATCTCAGCACTCAGGAGGCTGAGGCAAAAGGATTACCAAAAGTCTAAGGCCAGTTTGGACTTCATAGTGAGTTCAAGGCCAGCCTTTGCTGCATAGCAAAACCCTGTCTCAAGAAAAAGAAAGAAAGATGAGTAAAAAATAAATGATTATGAATGGAGGGGCTTGGAGATGCAGCCTGTGGTAGAGTACTTGCCTATCATGTGCAAGACCCTTCATTGGATTCCCAGTACCACACACACACACACACACACACACACACACACACACACACGAAAAAAATGCTTGCTATAAATTTGAGCTCAGGCACTGTATTTGTGCTCCCACATTCCCATGGAAGAAACAATAATTAATACTGCAAATATTTACATAGCCCAGTCTGCTTATCAGGCAGTGGGCTAAGCACACAATCGTCAGGACAGCCCATGACATGGGTGCTTTGCTGATCCCTACGTTATAGGAAAGAAAACCAGCTGACATTGTGAGTTTGAGGCCAGCCTGGGCTACAAAGTGAGCTCAAGGCCAGCCTGAACTGCATAGTGGGACCCTGTCTCAAAAAGACAAAAATAAAAAAAACAAAAAAAACCCAGCTGGGACTGAGAGAAACTTACTACTTTCCCCAAACTCATCCCCTCAGCAAGATAGGAGTAGAGGCAGGATTTGACTCTAAGCAGGGCTCTGAGGCCCATGGAGCTACGTGAGAACATTTCCAAGGACCCCTTCCAGAGGTGGATCAGAAAGTGATCCCAGGAGGACTCATCCCAATGTGGGAGTGATGTAAGTGACCAAGTGATGAGATGCACTCCCTCCCCTCCCCCAGAAGGACAGTTTGTCCCAGTTAGTGGATGTTCGTCACTCTGCCTCTGACCTAAAGTTTAAAATTTCATTCATGAGTTTGCAGACTTGGCAGTGTGGGCAAGGCTCTTGAAGATCAGCTGTTCTAGTCTAACCCCCTCATATTACAGATAGAAAAATATAATCTCTGAAGCCCATTGAGGGCCATGAACACACCAAGGTCACAGAGAAAAGTTTTGTGTTAGATGGAGGAACTGTTTTGGGGTCAACTATAGATCATCTTGTTCTTCAGTTACCAAATGTGGCTGCACCTCTGATTCACTTGGGGAGCTCTTTCAATTTATTTATTTTATTTTATTTTATTTTTTGGCTGGGAATATAGCTCAGTAGTAGAGCACTTGCTAAGCATGTGAGAAGCACTGCAAATATATCTATATAGCTATATAGGCATAGCTATATAGATATAGATATATGCACACACAAACACAGATATCTGCACTCTGCTTTTTTTTTTTTTGGTTTTTTTCCAGTACCGGGAATCGAACTCATAACGTCACGCTTGCCAGGCAGGCGCTGTGCCGCTGAGCTAAATCACCAGCCCCTGCACTCTGCTTTTGGAGATTCAGATTTAAGTTTGCAAAAAAGGCCTGGGAATCTGAATATACAATAGATTTATTGAGTGATTTGAATGGCATAGGGCCATGGGCTGCATTTGCAAGTTGGAATCCTGTCTTGTATTTTCCAGTTTTGGATACAAGGACCCAGCAAGGGACTTGCCCAAAGTCACACAGCAAATCAGTGAGACTCTAGCTTAGGCTTTACGGTCTGAACAAGGCTTCCTGTGGTCAAATTTCACAAATAGGCCAAGGAGGCTGACCAAGGGAGCTGCTGTGGTTTTCCCCAGCTCTTGATTTCCTTCTTGTACTCAAATTAAGAAACAGGTTGATACCCACTTCCGGGGCCTTGCTAGAGAGGAATTCAAGAGCTGAACTTCCAAAGGGAAAAGGAAACAAGATCTTGCGTCCCTGTGGGGTTTCCCACAGACAAGCTCTCAGCTCTAGGAACGAGGTCAGACACCAGCTTTCCAGCTGGCCCTAGGGCAACTAGCTCTGGGCTACATGTATTTTCTGTTTCAGGAGAATGGGTTTGGAAGACTTCCCTGTAGAGGATGGATAAGGTAAAGAGCCAGAACAGCCACACATTCCTGTACCTGAAAGGCAGGTGTGAATAAGTGTAATTTATACCTGCCTTTTCCTAAACCTCTCTACTCACCTCGCTCCCTAACCCTTCAGCCCAGGGCTACTTAAGCAGAGGGCTTTACTGCTGCTTCTTTTCTCACTGCTGCTCCATCACCTGACTACTTCACTGTCTCCTCCCTCCCTGTCTCCCTCCCTTCTTCCTTCCTTCCTTCCTTTCTTCCTTCCTTCCTTCCTTCCTCCCCTTTGGTAATGGGATTTGATGTTTGGAGTCAGATGTCCTTGGTTTGAATCCCAGTTCAGCTTCCTATAAACTTTCTAACTTAGGTAGAACCATGCCCTTCTCTTAATATCAATTTCTTCACCTAACGGGGGATAATACCTACCTTCTTGGATTGTGATTATTAAACAAGATCACATAAGCATTTAGTAAGCAGAAGATATTTTCTCAGAAACATTAGATCATATGAATCAGTGGACCAGAGGCATTTAGACATATATTTATTGAACTGAGTTGAGGTGCCTAAAAGCATGGGGGTGGGTGTTGGAGACTGGTTGAACTAGAAAGCACATAAGAAATCTCTGGCCTTAACTTCCAAGCAGGAGTCCAAGTAAATTGTTTATAGTGTTTCCAAATGATAATGGAAACCACATACTTGCTTTCGATAAAGAGTCAAATTTCTTTTGTCTGGAATTGCATCAACTCGGGATGATAACACAGCTATTACACGCTGTTCAGAAATTCTACTTGGCAGTTTGAGTCTTTGATAAAATTTCTTAAATGGGAAAATAATTAGTGGAAGGTGGATTAAATGTTGGATAACGTTAATCTTGTTCAAATCCTCATGTGCTTATCAGGAAAGCTGAGGTTTAAGAAGGAAGTGGCTTGCTGCTCACACAAGTAGGAAGTGGTACAGCAGACCACTAAAACCCAGGGTTTTTGTCCCTAAAATCAGTTACTTCCAGAAAAGGGGAACCCAGCATCAGTGAAGCTGAGGCCTCCTGGAACAGGAATACAGTAAGTCATCAGTTTGCTGTTGTCCTTTTCCTGTTCTTGACTCACTCAGCAAATATTTACTGACTGTCCACTACTGGGACTCAGAGAAGGCAGAGATAACTTAATCACGGTGTCAGGCAAGGTCACAATTTGATCTAAGGTTTGATTTTAGAACCTGTGCTTTTTTCCATTGGATACCCACTTTTTTAAGGCAGGGTCTCGCTTTGTGGTTCAGGCTGACCTTGGGCTCACTATGTAGCCCAGGCTGGCCTCAAACTCACAGCGATTCTTTCGCCTCAGCATCCCGAGCGCTGGGATTACAGGTGTGCGCCACCGCACCCAGCCGTACACTCACCTTATAAAACACCCACTGCTCTCCCATCTAATACAGTTACAGTGTCTGTGGGTAGGAAATGTCCCATGTGCTCACCTTCCCAGCACCCAGCCGGTGAGAAATCAACGTTGTAGTGTTTGAAAACATCTGGATTCTATTTATGTATGTATGTATGTCTTTTTGAGACAGGGTCTCACCATGCAGCTCAGGCTGGCCTTGAGCTCACTTTGTAGCCCAGGCTGGTCTCGAACTCACAATGATCCTCCTGCCTCAGACTCCCCCGTGCTGGGATTACAGGCGTGCGCCACCACTCCCGGCTGGATTCTAACCCTGACTGTCCGCTAACTCTGTGTCTCTGGGACAGTATATGACTTCTCTTTACTGGCCCTTAGTTTAATCATCTGTATAACTGGTACAATGGCAAAATAATATGTAGAAAAGCTTTTCAAAACCCTCACTAGGAGAAACAAAACATAGGGGATCTAAACTGAAAATAGCCAACGTTTACCACCTCGTTAATACTCAGACCTATCACCCTCGCCAGCGAGCCACAGCGTAACCCCTGCACGACCTCTCTAGTCGCCGCTCTGACCCCCCTCCCCCACTTCCCTCTAGAGGGCACGCAAGCGCTACGGATTTTGTGCCTGGCTTCCGTTCGCCTTCATCGTTCATTCTGCGCATGTGCACACTCATTTCCCGGCTGCCTGTGCCCTGTAGGTAATTTGAGCAAGGGTTGCACCCACTACGCCTGCGCATTATCAGCCCTACCCTACGACGCCATCCCCGGAAACGCTTCCTTCCCACGTAGCCTCCTCGGCCCTTCGGGTCGTCACATTTTTGCCTCTCTAGGCTGGTCGGGCCTCTCCTCCATGGTCCGGTGTGTTAATAGTGTTTTGGAAGCTAGCCGGTGAGGCCGGGCCGGGCTCGGACGCTGCATCCTCGAGTCAGTCACCGGTGAGTGAACCCCAGAGGAGCTGTGTTCGGCGGGGGCCGAGCAGCTGGAATGGACCAGATTTCCCCTTTCTGGGAATGGGTTTGTCCGCTCCGTCCTCCCCCCACCTCCCGGAATGGGCTCGCCCCTCAGTCCCAATCCCTCCCCGCGGGCGGGGCGGCGTTGTCAAGGTGACGGCCGGGAGGCTGGGGCCCAGCTGTACGCTGTCCCCGCAGGTGGCGGGGCGACCGGGGGCCCATGGCGCGGCGGCGCTGAGGCGCAGGCGGTGGCCGGGCCCCGCGGGCCGGCATGGCGGGCCAGTTCCGCAGCTACGTGTGGGACCCGTTGCTGATCCTGTCGCAGATCGTCCTCATGCAGACCGTCTATTATGGCTCGCTGGGTCTGTGGCTGGCCCTGGTGGATGCTCTAATGCGAAGCAGCCCCTCGCTGGACCAGATGTTCGACGCCGAGGTAGGGTCACCCGGCGGGCGCGGGTGGGGTCTCGGTTCACTGTAGGCTGTTGTCTGACACTGGATCGTGGGCCTGGTTAGTAAAGGATTCATCTCTTCTAAGTCTCAGCGGCCCCATCCATAAAAGGGAGACACTGATAACAAGCAGATGAGTGCAGAGGGAAGGGTCTCCATGTTATTTTCAACAAGCTTGCACTCCAGGCAACTCTTACAATTTGGGAAAGCAGCTTCACGTTTTTGAGGATACTCAACGGACTATACTGGCGATCGGTGTGGATAAAAGGGCGTTCATGGGGGTGCGGTGGAAACTGTCCGGGCTTTGGGATCAGACAGGCCTGCATTTAAGTTCCGTTCTTCCGGCTGAGTGACCTGGGGCAAGTGTTGTTACTTCTCTTACTCTGTTTTTCTGTGTAGAAAATCATGGGCCTGGAAGCAGAGAGATGGTGAACCGTGGTGCCAGGGAGCCTGTGTTTAAGGTCCAAACCAGGCTTAAACACACTACTGTAATTATGGGAACTTGAGCAAGTTGTTTCACCTTTTTGAGCCTTTTCCCGCTTTTGGCAGGTGAACAAAATTCTCTTTCTCTGTCACCCTCAGTAAAATGTTACGAGGCTCAGAGGGACGTAGGAATAAAAAGTACTGTATAAAGTACAATAGGCCGAAGCAGTTGTTAAACCTGAGGGGCACCTGTGGTAAATGCTAATGTACAGTTTGTGGAGCCAGGAGACCTGGGGTGGTGCCCCTGTTCCTGATGGCTTATTCTTTGCATGGCCCCTGGGCAAGTTGTTATTCAAAAGGAGGTGGTGGTAGTAACTATAAAGGCTTTCCTAGATTTTTGAAAGAATAATATGAGATTATGGATGTCAGAGGCTTTTCTCTGTAAATTGAAAGTATGGTGCAGATAGTTGGTATTCAGTAATATCATCAAGGGTAGTGAAGCTTGCATGTGCCCCAGTGTTTATGAGCTTTTTTTTGTTTGTTTGTTTGGTTTTTTTTTTTCCGGTACGGGGAATCGAACTCACGACTTTGCACTTGCCAGGCAGGCGCTGTGCCGCTGAGCTAAATCCCGAGGCCTGTGCCCCAGTGTTTAGTAGTAACCTCATAGAAGCTTCTTTCCTCCTAGGAAGGGTATGTGGAAATTCTAGATTAAGTTGGAAAAACTATCGAATGTACACAACCTGAGATCTAGGCTCGAGTTCAACAGAACTTCTGAAGAGGATGGTGGTAAAGATTTTAGGTCACAGCTACTCAGCTCTGCCACTGTAGTGCAAAAGCAGCCATAGACAATAAGTGACTAGTTGTGGGCTATGTTCAATAAAACTTGGTTTACAAAAGCGTATGCCTGGTCAGTGGGGCCATCGCTTGATGAATAGCCTTCTAGACCTTACTCTTGCTATTTACTTACTGTATCATTTGGGCAACTTAACTTGGGGTTTTATGTCACCCTTCTCAAAATGAGAATAATACTACGCTTCCACCTACCGTGACGATTAAATGCAATCTACAGTGGATATTCATGAAAGTACCGTGGAGAGAGAGAGAGAGAGAGAGAGAGAGAGAGAGAGCGAGAGCGAGCAAACAGACACACAGAGGAAGAAACAACTTGTTGGAATTAGGCAGCCATGCACATGAAAGGCTGTTGTCTTCTGTGTCCTGTGAAGGAGGGCTGCTGGGATCCTTGCTGTACCAGGTGACATCTCCAGCATATTTTCATTTGTGATTCCCCCTCAGATCCTGGGCTTTTCCACTCCTCCAGGCCGGCTCTCCATGATGTCCTTCATCCTCAATGCCCTCACCTGGTGAGTACCGCTGGTTTTGCTATCTGGCTTTTGGGGCCTTAGAACTGGGACTTTCTAAATTTGGACACGAGACAGCTGGTGCCTGTGCCTGTTCCTGAGGAGTGGTAGACTAAAGTGGGTGGCGGAGGGGACTGGCTCTGTCATGGGACTGCTTCCATTGCTGTTTTGACTCAGCTGCAAAGCTCTTCTGTCACTGTGTGTGTGCTGCTTGCATGACAGCTTCCATCTCAGATCACTTCCCTGACGTGGCATGAGGCGGGGAAAAGATTAGACTGGAAGTCAGAAACACTGGCTCCTAGTCTTGATCCCTCTGCCATTAGCTGAATTCTTTGCTTCCTCTCTGGGCCACGGGCTCCATATCAAAGTTTTGGAGTAGGCAATGTCTAAGGTTACTCATAACCACTGCCTCTCTTTTGAGAAGCATTTTAGCATAGTGATCAAAATCTCAAGCTGAGAAAGACTCACTTGGCTTTGACTCTCAATTATTATTATTATTACTATTATTATTACTATTATTATTATCATTATTATTTTGTCTTTTTGGGGTAGGGTCTCACTATGTAGTTCAGGCTGCCCTTGAGCTCACTTTGTAGCCCAGCTCAAACTTGCAACGATCCTCCTGCCTCAGCCTCCCGAGTTGAATTTTACCATTATTCTATTGACTTTGGACAAGTTAATCTAAGCCCCAGTTTTCTCATCAGTAAAGTGGGAAAGCTACTAAAGTCACCTGCATCATAGCTGTAAGGATTAAATATCAATTCACAGGAAGTACTTAGAACAATGACTTGAACATTATTAGTATTCTTTTTTTTTTTCTAGCCTTTTTTTTTGGTACTGGGAATCAAACTCAGGACCTAGCACTTGCCAGGCAGGCACTTATGCTGCTGAGATATATCCCTGGCCCCAGTATTAGTATTCTTAATCTTAAACTGAAGGTTGAAAATTGGTGGGCTAATTTTGACCTAGATTTATCTCTTAGGTATGTTCTGTTTGCCTTATACAGATGTTCACACATGAGTTTTGGTTTTTTTTTTGAGACAGGGTCTGTGTAGTTCAGGTTGGATTGAACTCACTATGTAGCCCAGGCTGGCCTTGAACTCGTGGTGATCCTCCTGCCTCAGCCTCCCCAGTGGTAGGATTATAGGCATGTGCCACCATGCCTGGCCTCATGCATACTTTTTTTTAAATATATGGAACACTTCACAAATTTGCATCCTTGCACAGGGGCCATGCTAATCATCTCTATGTTGTTCCAGTTTCTTTTAGTATATGTGCTCTTGAAGCAAGCACATCATGCATGGTTTTTAAACTTTTTTTTTTCAGCTAGTTGAAAGTCAGTATATTTTATAGAAGTCCAGATTTCTGGCTTCTCTTGAATAATGGGAAGATTGAAGGATTTCAGGCTAACCGTCTAGCATAAGATTTACTTAGATGCTAGTAGCTTGTCTCCATTTTAACTAGAACTTGTATGCTTTCAGGGTACCCCACCAATCCCTAGTATTTCCTTGAGTCACCCTTGGTATTTATCATCAAGCTTGTACTTTGTTGTCTTTTGCTTAGTCTAATTCACTCTTCACATTACCTGCCAGGTTCCTCTGGCATCTGGTACTGTAATCCTTGCTTGATACTTATCTCGCTCACTTCTGACTACTCTGCTCTCATCCTAATTGTCCCTACCACCCAAGTAACCTAACCTTAAGGTCAGGACAACCCAGTGACAACTTGCTGCTATCCTTTCCCTACAGTGCCCTGGGCTTGCTGTACTTCATCCGGCGAGGGAAGCAGTGTCTGGATTTCACTGTTACTGTCCATTTCTTTCACCTCCTGGGCTGCTGGTTCTACAGCTCCCGTTTCCCCTCGGCGTTGACCTGGTGGCTGGTCCAAGCTGTGTGCATTGCACTCATGGCTGTCATCGGGGAGTACCTGTGTATGCGGACGGAGCTCAAGGAGATCCCCCTCAACTCAGCCCCTAAATCCAATGTCTAGAATTGGGCCCTATGGACACTCTGCTGCACTTGGGACCCCCAGCACCTTGGGCTGCTCAGACCCTCCAGATGAGGTCCAGCCCATGTCTGAGAGGAACCCTGGAGATAAGATCTCTGTTGATGGAGATAGCAAGGCCCTGTCAAGGAGGCAGGTAGCAGTCAGGATCGCAGCTGCAAGAATGGCCTCTGTCTCTGAAGCCTTGGTATTGGAAGATTAGGAAAGGAACTTCTTTGAGGGTAGTAACAGATTTGGAATGATGTCTCTCTTGAGCCATCATTTCTGTCACCAGCCTCTTGTTTTTTAAAAAGGAATCAAGGATATCTGATTGGGGAAAAAATCAAGGATGTCTGATTGGAGCAAACCACTCTTCTAGTCATCTGTTTTACTCCCCTGGGACAGCTGTTACCTTTGCCACATTGCCGAACCACGGTGATTTTGTTTGGAGGAAAACTTGGTTTCCAGATCCTTAGCCACAGAAAGAAATGTAGGTGCAAAGTACCGGGATGCTGTCAGCGAGAGGATAGCAGATGGAAACTTCAAGCACAAGGAAAACAACAACATGCGCCCTATTACACACATATATGTGTGCACCCGAGAAACCATGACTAGCTGCTATCCAGTCCCTCTGGTGGGTCCCTGTCATGCTGCCAGCTCTCAACATGCAGGCTTCTCAAAACCCAGAGAAGAACCCTAGCATGACTTCTAGTCTGACCCTCAAAACAGAGTCACTGCCTGTTCCTTTGGAAATAGGTTCCCCCTGGACCTCAGTTCTGGAAGGAGTTCCTTTTTCTTGTATTTGGAATTCTCTGGTGGGAAGGGTCTAATGGGTGTCCAGAGATAAAAAGCTTAACTTTCCAGCCTGGGCTATGATGGGAGAGATACGAATTTGCTGCTAAGTTTTTTCTTTGGAGTAGAATTTCCTCTGAGGGCCTACAGCTGTCCTTCCTATATACATAAATACAGTATTTTCCACAGTTTTGCCTGTGTTTACTTTGTAATGCTATGGTTGAGACTGAGAAAGATTAACATAGCCAGCAAAGGAGCTGTAAAGAATTATTATTATTATTATTTTTTTTTTGTGAAGAATTATTATGCCATCTCCTTTCCTGAATCTCAGAATTATGCTGCATTTGGTTAAAATAGGTACTTAGTATGGGAACTCCTGGGCACCGCTACCTCTGTGCCTCTGGCTAACCTCATGACTGTTGGGAATTTTTCCCCACGTGCTGTGATTTCTGAACATGTGCATGGAGTGCACAGGTTTAGGCTCAATTCTGCATTGATGCTATCACCAGTCCTCTTTAGCTTTTCTGGATCTTGCCCAAGAGAGCTGTCAGTTTTCAGCTTTCAGTATTACCGTTACATAGATGAGTTTTGTGGTTTTCCCTTGGAGTCTTTCTAGAATTCTGGCTCTGAGCCCTGCAGAGTAGGGATTTGAGGCTGACAGGATGAAGGTCTAAAAGTGCACATACCTGGTCAGAAGAAGCTAGGAAGGTGCTAGAGTGAGGCAGCTCAGTAACACAGAATACTGTGATCAAGCTGGAAGAAAGTGCTTGCTACTGGGACATAGTATTTCTAGCTGCAGGGTCCAGGAGGTAAGACCAGACAGGCCAGTGGATTTTCCCCTAGACACCACAAACTCTATGGGCCTGTGACTAGTTTTTTGTTTGTTTTTCTGGAGACAGTCTCACTATGCAATTCAGGCTAGCCTTGAACTCACTGTGTAGCCCAGGCTGGCCTTGAATTTGTGATCTTCCAGCCTCAGCCTCCGTAGTGCTGAGATTATAGGTGTGTACCACCATGCCCGCTCAAGGCCTGTGACTTTTAAACACCTCAGGACACTCATGTCTTGTGGCTGTTCTCCCTGTGGCCGGAGCACCTCTTAGAATTTCCTTTAAGGCATGGGTATTTGGTCTTTTGGCTTGTCTGGATCATGAGTGAAGAGAAATTGTCTTGGGCCATCTATAACATATATAATTAATGTATATAAGTAACAAAACTTCCTTTATTTTTATATTTTTATTATAACATTAAAATGAAATTATACAAGCCCAAGTTTAATAAATAAAACTTACATGTCTGTTGTTAATAACAATAAACACCTGTCTTCACAAAAGTAGGTTGAAATACCCTTATTGATAATCACTGTGTTTCACTCAACACATCCACAAGTGAGTGTAACGTGATATTTGTGGGGTTAGATGAGACTGTGGGGCAGACACTGGAGGCAGAGGTAGCACGGCACTGCATCCTCCCCTGCAGTGTTCGGTTGTTACCTTCACAGTCCATGCTCGAGTACTGCCCAACTGAGTCATGAAGAATGTCACTAAGAATCATAATGATGCTAATGTTCTTGTGGGGCTGCATGCAACCCATGTACAGTTGGTTGGACACACTGCTTTAAGGGCTTATGTGTTTTTTCTGTGTATCTTCTGTAGTGACAGATATGTCCCTCGAGTGTTAATTTAACTTAGAAACTGCTCAGAGTCAGAGGATTGAAGTTTTTGTTTTGTTTTATTTTTCAACAATATAGCAACCAGGCTCAGTGACCTTAACATTTTCACAATTTTTAAAGTCACAAAAGTAGTTTCTAGAGGTCATTGAGCACTGTGTCTAGATGTGGCCTGAGGGCATTTACTAGTGTGTCTTCTCAGTTTGCAGCGAATGTCTGAAATAGGGAATATCATCATCTGTTTTTGTTACTGTTTTGTGGTACTGGGGATTGAACCAAAGGCCTTGACCCTGAACTATGTCTCCAGCCTTTTAAATTTCCTTTCTTTTCTGCTTTGCTTTGCTTTGCTTTCTCTTTTTAAGACAGGATCTCACTATTTAATTCAGGCTGGCCATGAACTCAAATCAGTCCTTTTGCCCTAACCTCCCAAGTGCTGGAATTATAGGTATACACTGCCATGCCTGGCTTCTTATTTTTTGTCCTGAGACAGAGTCTCACTAAGTTGCCCAGGTGAAGCTCAAACTTTGATCCTCCTCCCTCAGCCTCAAGAGTGCTGGGATTACAGGTGTGTACCACTGTGCCTGGGTGGGATCATCTCTATTTTATAGATGAGGAAGCATTAAGGAACTTACCCAAGGTTATTTGGTAGGAGCTGGTGGTGCCAGGATTTGGGGTCAGGTGGTGACGTTAATAAGCTGTTCTAAAGAGATCAATCATTAGGGATCTGTAAGTTCTGATTGGTTAACAGTCTTATCACATTATACACATACCTTCTCATCCCACAGTAATGTTTTAAGTACTGAGAATGAACTTATGAGCAAGTTCCATTCCAGGAAAATGTTCATTAAGTAGGATTTGTTCATAAGTCCGACAAAGTGAGTCTTATGTAGTACACCCCTGAAAGTTCCCAACTTGAATGTTCGTAAGTTGGGGACTGTGCTGCCTTTCTAAGAAAAACTGATAGGCAGTACACAAAATAGGAGATTTCCAGGTGATGATAGGAATGCAGGAAATGTCTTTATTTCCAAAGGATAAAGGATGGTACCTAGATCAGAAAGCTTGCAGCCCACTGTCTACTTGACATATCTCTTGGCTTTCTAGAGAACTGAAGTCGGCCTCCTTTGATCACCCATCACCTGAACTCTGCCCATTCAGCGGGAAAAGTGAAGAGTTTTGCATAATTTGTGCTCAGAATAGTTTATAACCAAGAAGGAAGATGGGAAAGGAGGAAGAGGTGTCTAGGCGTCCCTGACCAAATCAGAGCCAGATGGGAGCCAAGTGACATCTGGGAGGGTGAGGAGTAATAGGAAGCCCAAGAGGTCCCCCTAAATCCCAGGCTTAGGGGGCTGCACAGTTCAGTCTGTCCTAGAAGCTGTTTCTTGGACTCCTTCCTCTTGACAGTCCCAGAAGGCAGCCGGGGACCAGCGACCATAGAACCCCAGGGGAAGAACCTCTGAGGTTCCAGGGTCTGGGGGCACACGGTGGATTCAGGGTACAGGAAGATTCCTGGGGGGTTAAAAGCTACTTGAGATTTTTTGTAGGAAAGTAATAAAGGGTGATGAAAACAGCATTGAGGCAGGAAGGGTAGAGGGAGCTGAACATTGTCCTGCTACTACCTGGGTAAGTTGGTGAGAATTACAGGGTCCAAAGCTCGGTGACTTCAGAGAGCTGCAGTGGAGGATAGGGTTAAGGCTGGCCTCCTTATTACTAGATGTGAGGCCTCCTGTAAACTAGTTAATCTCACCCTACCTCAGTTTCATTTGTAAAATGAGGGTAGTTGTACAGTCAACCTTTAATGTCCGTGAGAGATTACTTTTAGGATCCCCAAGGATACCAAATTCTGCAGATGCTCAAATCCTTTATATAAGATAGCATAGTAAGAAAATAAGAAATAAAACAGCATATTACATAACCTACACACACCCTTTCATAGACTTTTTTTTTTTTCCCCCTGGTACCGGGAATCAAACTCACGACCTCGCGCTTGCCAGGCAGGCGCTGTACCGCTGAGCTAAATCCCCAGCCCCCTTTCATAGACTTTAAATAATCTCTAGAGTACTTATAATATGCAGTGTAAATGTTATGCAAGTAGTTGTGTTGCTGGGCGTGGTGGTGCACACCCAGCATTTGGGAGGCTGTGGCAGGAGGATCACCACAAGTTTAAGGCCAGCCTAAGAAACAGTAAGTTCAAGGCAAGTCTGAATTACATAGCAAGACCTGTCCCAAAAAACCAAAAAGAAAAAAAAAAGTTATGCTGCATTATTGTGTTATTTGGGCAATAATAAGAAAAAAGCTTTACATGTTTGGTACTGCTTTAGTGCTTTCTTCTTTCCAAATATTTTTGGTCCAAGGTTGGTTGAATCCATGGATGCAGAACTCAAAGATACAAAACTCATAGATGTGGAGGGCCAGTTATACTTATATCCTCAGGTTATGAGGATTTAAAAGAGATGTCATGCATAAAGAACTTAGCACAGTGCTTGACACATAGGAAGTGACCCATAATTCTGTTACAATTATGAGGCTACTGTCTAGCTCTTCACTTTATGGAAGAGATGACTTTCTGCTGAACCACTATATTTTTTAGTGTTATGTAGGCTGCAGGCTTGCCTGTGATGTAGGTACCAAGTGGTGGTATCTGCCTTGCCCTGCAAAGTGGCTAATGTATGTTCTTATTTAACCCACTGAGATGGGCATCATTATTTCTCCGCTTTTGCAAACAAAGAAATTGAAGCTTAGAGAATAAACAACATTCCCTGATATCGCACAGCTGATAAAAAGCTAGGCCTATTTGCCTGGAAGGCCGCATCCTATTTTTACATTGCAGTTGTTTGCGTGGTACCTAATCTAGACGATTGGAATAGTGCGCAGAAGGTGAATGTGAAATAAGCTTGGCTTGTTAACAAGCAGTTAGTTCCCTAAAAGCCCATGGTTATGTAGCTGCTCAAAAGCAAGAAATGGGGTCAGCATTGTCCCTGGGGCTTCATTATTGCAAATGGCCAGGGAAAAAGTTTGAGGTACGGCCAAACATTTGTTCTACACCCCACAACTGGCTTCATCTTACAAGCTTGATTTGCTTAGTCTTCTGAAATAAACTGTAGTATTCTTGTTTTAAAAACATGAAAGAGGCTTGGAGCGGTCATGTGACTTGTTAAAATTCACTCAAAAATAAGTTCCAGTTCAAACATTTTAAAGTTGCTGCCCTCCCCCCAGTTAACTGTTAGCCATTTCTAGGATGGCCTCCTCCCCAAATCAGGATCTTACTGAGCCCAGAAGAGTCTCAGATTGAAGTGATCAGTGGCAGTGGAGAGATCCCAGTTGGGGACCGCGGTGGGCAGGTTGCCAGAGGCGGACCAGTAGCTGCCAGGGCAAGTGAGGATGTGGCTGGCATGAGTGCTCTGCTAGGAGTCACTCGGCTCTAGGACCTACAGTCCTTGCTCCTGTAGCCAGGCCAGATCCCAGCCTCCTACATAAGCCTCCCTTATGCTGGGTGGCATGGTGGCATCTCCCCTTGAGAAATTGCAGCTCAGCTTGGTATGCTGTGGGCCACAGTAGATGTCATTCTTACCCAAGCCCACCCCATCTGGGTATTTGGGGCCCCCTAGGAGGTCTTACCAAGGATAGTGCTGGGACGGGGAGAGATCCCAGGAACAACAGTTTGGTGGGACTGTGCTTCCCTGACTGCTTAGTGATGGTGCATTCAGGACAGAAGATCGCACTAAGGTCGATGGGTTAGAAGGCACTTGGGAAAGAAGAATGAATAAAGGTTATTTTTTCCAAGATTGATGATACCCCGCAAGGGAATGGAAGTGACTACTGAGAAAGTGGGCTGGTGTGCAAGCTGAGCAGGAGCACAGCTGGAAGCAGAGGTCACTGGGCTGAGGTTGCACAGGAGGTGGTGAGGGTCCACCGCTCAACGGAGGAGGTGAGGAGTGGGGAGAGCGCTAAGCTACAGCAGTGTGGTGCACTCCCCAGACCAAGGCTCATGCCCAGGAATTATAGGGGAGGAGCAGTGGGAGCAGGTGGGGTAAGGAGGAAGCCCTCTTACAGTTCACCCCCTCCCAAACTGCAGAGCTCTTCATCACCACCCTGTCTTTCCAGGGAGGGGTCTGCCTCCTTTGATGGTGTTGGGCGTCTACTCTGCGCAGACTTCCTGCAGCGAATGTGCTGCTTTATAGTCTCGGACTGCAGAAAGCTGGGCTCCCTCAGCTTTCCTCACCCCCGCTGGATTGTTCTGGCCTTTAAGGCTCCTACCAATGGAGGGTAACCCCAACCAGAGTTTGGGGCTGATGGTAACATACTGGGTTCCATGGAGCAGTGGAGACACAGAGCCAGCTCCCTAACTGACCTGTTGTTTTCCTTGATCTGTGATACAGATAGGACACATTGAGAGGCCCAGGTGACACCCACAGGCTGACATTAGCAGCACTGGGCTGAAGGCTGGGGCTGCGCCACTAGCCCAGTTACCCCTGTCTGGGCAGGCTTACATGCCTTTTTCTTTCTTGGGAAAAATGGAACTGGGAGCAGCCAGGAAACCTGCTGTATTTTCCCCCAAATAAGACCTGACTGGAAAATGAACCCTAGCAAGATTTTTCAGGATCCTCATAATAGAAGGCCTACCCCCAAAATAAGCCCCAGTGAAGATCATCAGCCACATAGGTGCATTTAGTACCGGGATAGCGAAGCCTTTAGAGATGAGTGGTAAGCTGCACCCCAAAACCCACGTATTTATTGCAAAGTACCAACACCACAATTAAGCCTGAACACAGTACTGAGGTTTTGGGTTAAAAAACCAATTCATACATTAATATCTTTTGTTTTAAAATAAAAACACAATAATGTCTGCCATAGGTTTGCCACCGCTGATTTAGTACATCCATTGCAATATATAATAGGCATATTGAATTACAAAACAATATTAATATTAAACATAAGTAGTATTATTGACATTAATACTTAAATGATAATGTGAATTATGATTAAGCATTTGTAAATAACCAAGTGGGTGCCTTTGGGTGAGAGGTAAACGCCTATGTAAACAAATGAGCTCAGGACTTATTGCCAAGTGACCCACGGAGCCCAGACCTGGGGCATGCATAATGTGTGCACTTGATTATGAATGGACCTGGTTGTGTCTAATGTGAATCTTCATAACTCAATACATTGTCTGTTGTCATGGATGTACTTAACTGCACTCATGTAAAATAAATGTTTTCTGAATTTTGGTGCCTGCAGTTTTTCATTGCTTTTATGTAGGACCATCATTCTTAACTGTCATCATTTTTGTTGCCACCCCTGTCTCCTAAGTCTTCATTCATTTTAATGGAAACTTCGGGAAGCCTGCCCTCCAAGAGGTGGTGACTTGGGTCAATTCCTGAGAGGAAATCACTGACGGCTGTGTTGCCAGTACACTACGTGTAGGCTACATGGACCAGAAGTGGTCATTTAAGGCGAGCTCTGTTGCTGAATTCAGGGTTTGAAGACTTAGGGTGATGTTCCAGAGGAAGGCAATATGACTGTACTGAATAAATGTAGATTGACGTTCATAAAAAAAATGACATCCCCTGAAAATAAACCCTAGTGCACCTTTTGGAGCAAAAATAAATATTAGAACTGGTCTTATTTTCAGGGAAATAAAGCGGTTTAGTTTTTGCTTTTGCTATTTCCTCCACAGTCAAGCTGGACAAGTCATTTTCTGTCTGGCCGCCATAGCTGCCTTTTTTTTTTTTTTTTTTTTTTTGAGACAGGGTCTCGCTGTGTAGTTCAGGCTGGCCTTAAACACTGTGTGGCCCAGGCTGGCCTAAAACTTGCAGCGATTGTCCCGTCTCAGCCTCGGAGTGCTGGGATTAAGGCGAGTGTTACCACGCCCAGTGCCAGAGCTTTTTGGTAATTTTGCCTCAGGGCCATTATGAGGCAGTTTATGCTCAGGAAGCACACAATCGTTCTTTGACCTCACAGAAGAGTGCACCACTCAGGAGGTCAGCTCCCAGAGGGGGAGGGGTGCAGCTGGCAGGCTTCTTTATTCTGGTTCTAGACCTTAGGAGCGTGGGGCACACCGGAAGTCGTAGTACACATACTGTACTCCTTAGCCACCGCCACTGATGGCTTCTTTCCTCCAGTCTCACCAACCCCAGACAACCCGCAGAAGCATTTTTCAGTGCCTTATGGGAAGTTTTATTTGTAGATTCTCAAATTTTCCCGGCTATCTCTTGAGTTCTGCTCAGGGTGTGATCTCCATCTTCTCATTTGGCCGGCTCCACTGGGGTCACACCACCTGCGTGCAGAGACCTCGGTGATAGGCGCTAAATCACCCCCAGAGGGCGCTATCGTTTGGCGAAAGAGCACAGGGCCAAGGGTGTCTGCGGCTTGCGGGAAACTAAAAGCTGGACCAACCGCTCCCTCTCATGGAACCTACCTATCCCAAGAGACATATTGTTTCCTATCTTTCTCTGTCTCTCTGTCTTTCTTCTCTCCTCTTCTCCTCCCTCCCTCTCTTCCTGTCTCTCTCTCTCGTAAATAAATTTTTGTTCAGAGTAAATCTTATTGGAAGTGTAAACTAGAACACGGAGAGTTGATTTGGTCTAGAAGGGGTGGAATGCAGCAACGCTAACTTGGCCACTCCCCCTTCCCACATTTAGAAATTCCTTAACCAGCTTACTTAAACCTCTAACTGATATTCAGAACCATAGCAGGTCCTGATACCTCTGAGGCCTCCAGGCAACTAGATACCCGCCTTGGTACCCTCACTTCCAGTGTCCCACCTTCCCCTGGGGCCCCTGCTTGCGAACTGCAGTGGCCTCGTCTTAGCAACTGTCCTGCTGTGCTGACCGGTCCGTGCGCGCCCGCCTCTCCCCAGACGTGAGGGCAAAGCCTCGCAGCACTGCCAGCCACAGCCCCCAGGACTCAGAATCCTGAGCCCTCTGATTCTGGAGCCCAAGTCTGGGCCAGTTTAGAGTCTGCATCTCATCCTGGCCTAGCAGCGGCATTGTCATACCCACCTTATACGAACGGTACCTAGGCATTTCAAGTGTTGCGGAGCAGAAGCGGGTACAGCAGCGCTTAACCCAGCGTAGCTTGGAGGATCTGCACATGACCTTCGGCCCTGGGAGGTGGATTCGTGTAGGCAGCCCCTCAAACCAGGTATACTGGCCATTTACATCCAGCTGCTTCTCGTCCTTCCTGCGAGTTCTGTAGTTATAGGTCTTCAGAATGATGACTTGGGGGCCCCCTAGTTGCCGCCTTTGGGCGACCCTGTTCAGGCCATGACCCCTTGATGTCCTTGGGATGTCAGGCTCCCTCTGCTCTTCTGTCCTCGGTACTGCAACACGTGAACATGGAGCCGTGTTACTTACCCCTGGCTCCTCATACTCCCACTCACTCGGCCTTGCTTCCTTAGGTTTCCCTGTGGATTTTCTTTTCTTGAGTTCCAGGTTCTTCTCAAGGCACTTAGCTTCTTGGAGCTCATTATTTGGTTGTACTGTATTGGAAACATTGTCTTCCCTGGCAGGCAAAGAAAAAGCTGTCAGCAAAGCAGAGCTAAGGCCGGAGCTGTTCCTGAAACAGCTGCTATGCAACCAGCTCAGGGAGCCTGTTAGGAAAGCTAGAGAGCCTGAAAAGAAACTTCTGCACTGCCCAGAGGCCTATGCTTGGTGGCAGGGAGCAACAGGAAGGAGTAGAGAGAGGTTGGGAGGGTTAAGAACTAGCAATATACATTGTATGCCTCTGCCTCTAGGGCAGGGCTCTGTCTCTCAGGCCTTCAGTTGAAAGGATGAATGGCCCTGAGGCTTTTCAATTTATATTCCGAGGAAACTGCGGTCCTGAGGAGGTAGTTCCCTTTTCCTGAGTAGGGGAGAAGATGAGGGCAAGATACTGTCCACCCAATGACAAAGTAAGTGGCAGAGCAACATTGTGAAGTCGTGCCGATCTGACATTGCGGACAGATATTTGAAGAGAAGGTCCATTGCTTTAAAAAAAAAATTGGAAAATTATAGGGCTACATGCTCCTGATCTTTCCAGTTCTGTTTCCTGATTGCATGCCAAATCCGAGTGAGGAGCCGGGAGGAGGAGTTAAGGTATTATCTCTGCTGGAAGGGGACTTCTCCAGGTGTGTCAGAGACTGGACCCCTGCAAAGCCCCATCCTAGCAAACCCTATGACCTCCTGGCTGTGTGGGAAGAGTGAGGTCAGGGGTGAAGATAATGGTAACGGTCAGTGCCGGCCGGGCACCCATTCTTTGCGGCCCAGAGCTCTCACAATGTTTCTGCTAAGCAGGAGGCAGTGAAGCAGCATCATTGCTGGTTTTGTTTTTGTTTTGTTTTGTTTTGAGACAAGGTCTCACCATGTAGTCCAGACTAGCCTTGAACTCAATGTGTAGCCCATGCCCACCTTGGACTTGCAATTCTCCTGCCACAGCCTCCTGAGCGCCGGGATTACAGGTATGTGCCACTATACCCATCTAAGCACAGCCTTTGGAATCGGGCAAACTGGGGGTCAGATTCTGCTTCTGCCTCTTACCATCTGGATTTTGATAAGAAATTTAACGTTCCAGAGCTGGAGTTTTATCTGCAATGCTGGGATGATTCTGTGTACCTAGTAGGATTGTTGTGAAGAATAAACGAAATGCGGCACTCCTAAGGTGCTTAGTACAGTAGCTAGCACTTAGCAGGTACCTAATAAATGTCAGCTTCCTTAATATTCTGGTGTGACTTGTGAGGATATTGAACCTCGGGAAGAAATACTAATCCACCAACTTCAGAGGCCAGTATGCAGGTGAATCTCTGGGTTAGGCTGATGGGAGAAAGACAATCCCTTGTACTTAGTGACCTAGGTTGTAGTTAGCCCACAGTTGGATGATTATGACCACTGTTATGGGTGCAGCCTTGATGTCAGATCGGCATCCCTTCACGTTGTTGCTCTGCCACTTACCAGTTCACTTAGCTGAGCTAAGCCACTCCTCTCGTAAGGCTCAGTCCCCATCAGTAAAATGGGTAAAATAAATACCTATCTGCAGAGCCTTTGTGAAAATTAGACCTAGTTTTCAACTTCCTTAGCACAATGCCTGTTCCCAGTAACAACAGCTGCTGGGTCCATCATGAAGGTCACAAGTGGGCTGAGCTCACCCGGAGGAGACATGGAGCATCGTTGGAACTCGGAGCATTAAATTCCAACACCTTCTGGCCAGATTATGCAGTTCTTGGATCCGGATGTTTGAGATCTTGAGCAGCTTCAAGATTGACAAATTTCTTAACACCTGCCAGAAGTGAGAAACCAGAAAAATAAAAGCTTCAGCTCTCCTGAGAGAGCTCATCACTCCCTTGTTTGTGGCTCAGCTCGGCTCAGCTCAGGGCCGGGTGTGCTGACCCCTCTGGGTGTCTCAGCCTGGCAACCAGAAGCAGCACTGCATGGGGACTCATGCCCCCTAAGCTGTGGTCAGAATGAGGCATCTCACCATTTTAAGTCGATTCCGCTCAATTGCTTTGTAGACAGACTGCTTTGTCTTGTCCTGCAGGTTCTCATCTCCCGTCTGGGGGACAGAGGGACAGAGACGGGAGGGTTAGCACAGGAGGAAAACCCCTCTAAATGCCTCTGTGATGCCTCTCATTTGGCTGAGCATGGTTTGACCAGCCTTAGATGGGGGGGTTTTGTCACCTTGGTTTGGGGACAGGATGGAGGACCACTGAATCCTCCTGACCTCCTCCACCCTTTCCTTTCCCCTTTCCTTTCCCTCCCCACTTCCTCTCCCTTTCCCCCTAAGCTGGAAGGCCTCTGTTCTTGGTGTGGCTGGATCCTTTGTTCAGGCCCTTGCTAGGGGCTCATCCCAGGATCTAGCCCAAAGTCTGACCTTAGAAACCACTCTGTTCTTGGACTTCTTCTTCGCTGATGGACACATGCTGGGGGTATGAGTCCTCAAAGACTGAAGGAGCAAAACTGGGCCTGGCACTGTGCGCACTCTGCCCCTCTCAGTCCAGCCAGCACTCAGGCTGGGCATCAGATGGAGGTGTGGGAGCCCTCAGTCAGGGGAGCTGTGACATCACTGAAATGTGTGACAGAGCAGGGCTGGGTCTGCAGGGATTGTGTGTGGGACAGGGATGGAGGGCGAGCAGGACACTCCCATCTGTGGAGAAGCACGTAGTAGGTGACAGGCAGAAGCACACATTGTCACAGCCTCTCTGTGATGTAAAGGATTATCCCATCTTTAAAATGAGAACGCCAGGGTTCCAAGGGGCTAGATAATTTAAAGCTGGATGATGGCGGGGCTGGAATCCTAACTAAGGTCTAGCAGTCAACTCACGAAGCCAGGGATTCCCAAACTGTGCTCATGTATTCAGTCACATAATGTGTACCTGCTACACGCCAGGTATTTTTCTAAGTGCTGGAATGAAATAAAACTCTTACTTTCAAGGAGTTTGCATTCTAATGGAGGGAAAGAAAACAATGTGTATGCTTGTTTTTATTCATTCTCTGAAACAAAACATGTATGTGTGTTACAAGGGGTGTATGTGTGTGTGTGTGTGTGTGTGTGTGTGTGTGTGGTACTGGGGATTGAACCCAGGGCTTTGTGCATTGCTAGGCAAGCACTTAATGTTGAGCCACATTCTCAGCCCTTATTATACATTTTACTGATAGAAATCTACAAATAATAAAACTCTATATACCAGTGATGGTGAACGCTTTAGAGTTTTCACTTATACAGACAGCTTGCTGCAGCACACGTGCCACAGGTTCACCACCACTGCCATATGCAATTCTTATAAATTCCATTAGCCAACTATTTCATATAATGTACTGTTCTTGAATTTTGCCTCCCTTCTTTCTATCCATAGACAAATATGGTTGTAATGGATAAACAAATGTAGCACTGGCGTGAATGCTGGTATTTTCCTTCGCACGCCTCACTTGGTTCCTGGCTTCTGAAGCTGCATCTACCTAAGCAGTTCATCCCCCAGTGACTAGGCTTTGAACACAAGCAGTGGCTCACAGGAGTAATTTTCCATAGCCTGTTTTGTTTGCTCATTCTGTTACCAATTTGGGGTGTCCCACAGATTCTTTTCAGGGATTCTTTCCAGGTTCTTGATGTCCTGACAAAGAATTGGACAAAACACGAGAAAGTTCCACACTTCTCTGTTATGGACATTTAGATTGTTTTTATTTATTTTTTGTGTTGTTTTTATTGGTAGATGTTTGTGATACATTATAACTACACTCATTTGGAGAGTTGGCACCTGCACGTACCGCATCTTAATCATCTTTATTCTCCCCTCCACATCCTCCCCTCCCCCCACCCCCTTCCCCTCTCCACTGCCCGCCTCCCTGTGTTCTATCATCTCTTACTTTGCTCTTTAAATTATTTATACTTTAGGTTTTTCCTGTAAGGGAAGCCAAGTGATATTTAGCTGTCTGATGTATTTCACTCAGCATTATGATTTATTTAACTTGGCATCTATTTTTTGGCTATTGTACAGAATGCTGCTACGAACAGTAGTGTACAAATATCTCCTCCAGATCCTGCTTTCAATTCGTTTGGGTACTTGAAGTGGAATTGCTGGATCATATAGTAGTTCTTTGTGAGTGTGTATGTGTGTGTGTGTGTGTGTGTGTGTGTGTGTTTTGCTGGGGACTGAACCTAGAGCCTCACACATGCTAAGGATGCACTGTGTCTCTGAGCTACACACCCAGCTTGGTAATTCTGTTTTTAATTAATTCCATGAGGAATTGCCATACTGTTTTCCACACCGCCTGTGCCATTTTGCGTTCCCACGGCAGTTCACAAAGGTTCCAGTTTCTCCACACCCTCTTCAACGCTTGTTAGTTTTTAAGGAGCAGCCATCCCAATGGATGCAGGGCTCCACTCTTTTGTTTCCTCCTGCAGTTTGCGCTTTCGTTTTCTTACGTGGAGATATATTTTACATATGGTAAATTCCACCCTTTTTTTATTTTAAAGAGTAAAAGAAGGATAACATAATAATAGGGGGGCTTACCAAATTACAAAGTGGTAGGAAATTATCAATGGTTATTGTTTTACACATTGTTATCTACAAGATAGTTTCTCAGGAAAACAAATAGACAAATGATAGTGAGTTACAGACAAAAGAGGTAGGAGATTATCAAGAGTTGTTGTACTA